GTGGTCACAAGGCGCACAAGAGGAGGCCAGGCAAATAGCAGAAGGTGGGCTGTTCTTTTTACGTGTCTTAGCACACGTGCTGTGCACATTGAACTGATTGAGTCGATGGACGCATCAAGTTTCATCAATTCCCTGCGTCGATTCTTCAGTTTGAGAGGGCCTGTTAAGCAGATTCGATCCGATTGTGGGACTAATTTTGTCGGTGCTTGCCGGGAGCTAGGTTTCACACTGACAGACCCCGACATGTCAAGCATTAAAACATACCTGGGAGAAGAGGGATGCACCTGGATCTTTAATCCACCTCACTCTTCTCATATGGGAGGAAGCTGGGAACGTATGATAGGGTTGTCCCGACGTATCCTGGATGCAATGCTTCTCCAAACCACGCACTCTCACTTGACACATGAGGTGCTTTCCACTCTAATGGCAGAGGTAACAGCCATCATTAATGCTAGACCTTTGTCTCCTATCACAACAGATCCTGACACACCCTTCCTGTTGACGCCTTCCATGCTTCTCACTCAGAAGGTGTGCACTCCTCTTCCCCCTCCGGGAAGTTTTATTGAGAAAGATCTCCATCGACAGCAGTGGAGGCAAGTTCAACACCTTGCAAACACATTTTGGACCAGATGGAGACGGGAGTACTTAGGGACACTGCAAAGCCGGAACAAGTGGCAACGTAACCATGCAAACCTCAAGGTGGGAGATTTGGTGCTCATCAAAGACGCACAAGTGAGGCGCAATGAATGGCCAATGGGACTTGTCAACCAGATCTTCCCGGATAAGGATGGCAGGGTCAGGAAGATTGAAGTGAGGGTCTCAAGAAATGGAACTATTAATACTTACCTGAGACCTGTGTCAGAGACAGTGTTATTGATGTCCCCAAAGGACTGAGAAGTATGTGTGTCATGATGGTAAACATTGTATTCAGATATAATCTGTAAAATCTTGCAGTTTATGATGTTTCAGTTGGTTCATAATGGTATTTTACAATACCAGACGGGGAGTGTTATGACATGCATAGGTTCTTTCTCTTCAGCACCCTCTGCTGGTCATAGTGGGAATAATCGCCAGCTTTTATTTTGGTGGGGTTTTTCTGTGTTCCCGTGAGTAGAGGAAACAGGAAGCTGGTCGCTTGTTAGCCTGCAGAATATGTTGTTGCTCTTTAAAACGTTTCTGCCTTGGAGAGTTATTGCTTTTTTACGGGAAGAAAAGGATGTCATTCATTGAACTACTGACGAAGTAAAAAGCCTTAAACTTACTTCCGCCTCCAATGTTCATTGAAACCGTTAGCTGTCTGTCAAGTTGGGCAAAGGGACGCACAATAAGGACAGAACATTTGTGCTCCTGTTGTTTTATTCTGAAGCTGATCACAGTGGCATCTGGATCGCTGTGGGTATGTTTCACATCTTATATGAAATGTGGAGGAATTAAACTTCACACAATGAACTCATCATTTGTCTATTTCTAGTCCCACTTTAACATGTCAAACACAATTTGCTGTTGTTCTTCACCATCAGGCATTTGTATTTGTTTGCTGGTAATCATTGTTGTCGTCATTTGCTGCGTCCAGGCCAGACGGAAAAAGCGGATTAAAAAAATCCGTAAGATTTCTTTTTAAAAATGTCGTCTCCTTTTTATTTTGTTGCTGGGTTGTTTTGGCTGGTGTTTGGTGGCAGGGCGTATACTTCACTGAAAGCTTGATAACTTTCCTTCCTTGAGTATTGAGACAAAGAAAAATGATTGGATTTATTAAGTTTAGCCATTGTAATGAATTTCACAGTGCAGTATTGACATTAAGACTGAACAAACCAGGCTGAACATGTGATGCTGAATTAGGCTACAGACGACACAAATTATTGTGTCAAAGAAGGAAATTAGGTTTTTAATGTTTTAAGCAGATTCTTATCTTTTACTACATGTTCAGAAATCATCACGTGTTGCAGAAATGACCTTTTTTGTGACTGGGCGATCTGTGGTCTGGATTTGATTTCCTTTTTATTTTTTATTTATTTTTTAATCTGAGTGACACCTCCAAGATGTGTTGAGCTTTTAGATTTTGTTGATTGCAAAGCAGATGAAGTTTGATTCTAGCTCATCTTTCTTTAGCTGACAGCACCACATCAAAGCCAGGGTCTTAGTATGAGCAGGTTTTGCCAGAAATGATGAGAGATGATTGTGATGTGAAGACACAGGATGTCTTTTGTCCTGTTTTCCTCGTCTCACCCTAACCGGTGGCTGCTGATGGCTCCTCCTCCCTGAGCTGGTGGTTTCTTCCTTAAAGGGAGTTTTTCCTTCTCACTGTCACCAAAGCTCTTACTCATAGGGGGCCATATGATTGTTGGGGATTTCTGTTTCTTTGGATTACTGTAAGGTCTTGACAATATAAAGTGTCTCGCATCAACTATTGTTGTGATTTGGCGCAGTATTGACACAACTGACCTGAGCTGATTCTCCCTCTGACCTGTCGTCTTTGCTTATTTTAACAGAGGAGGAGGAGCTTCGTTTACAGATCGCTCAGGAGCAGCAGCAACATCAGCAGCAGCTGTAGTGAGCTGGCCTGCAACACTCAAATAACTCATCTAAACACCATCGTGACCAGCAGCATCCCAGAACCTCTGAGTGAGACAACAGGAAAAAATACAATCATTATCCAGCCTCAGTGCTGAGATGAAACGGTGTGTTTAGGGCCCCTCGTTTGTTTACACTGACTGTATAAACTGGGTTAAATGTGCACACAATAACGGAGCAGGTTAATGAACCCATATAGACGATCAGTCTAAACAAGTGCTAATCAGTATTTGATCAACATTGATGGATTTTTATTAAAGACTCATGTGTTACAGTGTTTTTAAAAGATGTGGAAAAACTAGATTATTCTTGGAATACTGTCGTCTACTTGTCTATGTGGAAAAGCTGGTCCTTGTAAAAATGTGATGACACTTATATTTTGACTTTTTAAACATTTTTTTCTAATTTTTTTTGTAGGTTTTTGGTTTTTTAAATAAATGTTACCTTTAAACAGTTGTAATTTAGCATAGCATGGCCATCTCTGTAGTCGTCTTGCTTGTGAACTCTGGGATTTGTATTACAACCAAAGTATCTTAAAGCCATGGCATTCCTTTACTGTTTCTGTTTTAAACTGCTTGAAAGGGACTGACTTGTATTTTCAGACCTATAAATTCTCCCATAAACATCAGTTTGAAATGTTTTGTGTACCTCTTCTGTTTGACAAAAAGTTCTGCTTCTATTTTTTAATCAGTGATACTCTAATGTGAATAATAAGCGTGGCCTTCCTTATGAACGCATCAGCAGTTCATGTCCTCGGATAGTTTTCTGCATTTTGTAGAGTTTATTTGCTTCGACGTGTAGAAAAAGTGTATAATTATATATGGATATATTTTTGCAAAAGGCTGCGATTTTTCCTGCTGAAGTATTTCTTCAGCCTTCCAAGGATTTACCCATGAACTCCTGCAGCTAGATGGATGTAAAGGTATATTTTGCTATCTGATCACATGGTTGTATAACATACCGACACTGGTCTCTCTTCTGCCCTTGGATTCTGTTATTCATGTTTTCTGTTTATCTTTACTGATAAAATAAACTATTTTACTCTTTTCTCTCGCCTCACAGTTCATTATTTCAAAACCACTACCAGGTGAAGAAAAGAGAAACAGTATTCTCCACTGAGAAAGCAGCAGCGCCCTCTGCAGTTTGTGTGTTGAAGTGAAAAAGCTTACAGGACTCCAAGTACTGACGAGGACCAACCCTGCTTAGCTTCTGGGATCAGGTGTGTTCAGGGTGGTATGGCCATAAACGAGAGGACAGTGCAGAAACTGCTTTTTTATACGTGCTGTGATGACACACACATGCGTATATTCTTATGTTCTATATATGAGTGAAAGTCTCCAAAAGACAAATGTTTGACCTACAAATCGTCCTGACACACTTTGTGCTCTCTGTCAATTTAACACTGCTGAAATAAACTAACGTGTTCTTATGGTGATGTTACTGTGGGAAAAGCAATTTTGCAGCTCAAATTTGAAGCTGCAGTTAATAAAGAAGGTTTGCATGTTTTTGTTGTAGCATATGCAGTTTAGCACAATAGTTTACCTTTGATAGTGACCTTTCAAATTCAACCAGTGCCTCCAAAACTGATACATCACCTTTATTTGTTATGGAATCAATCAGTAGTCACTTACTCAAATGAAGCAAACTAGCCAGCCTGGTAACCCGTCTGCATCTTCCAGCTTAAGTTAAACTCACCCTTAAGCCTTTAGCTGTCAGCAATTATCTCCTGCCTAAAAATTCCCAGCATGCTTCACCGCCAGAGCCTCTGTTCAGACCCTGACAAAGTCACCACCTGATTCAGGTTCCCTCACTCTTTCATCAAGTTTTCTCATCATCTGCACTTTCTTCTGATCTCTTTTCCTGGCGTTCCTTTTTCATGTTTGCTGGCACATTCAATAATGCTGGTACTTCATTCA